GTAGATAGTGGGATGATGTCACATTTCAATTTCTTTGTGATTTATTTTAATGGGAGAGATTTAAGTGGAATTTAATTAAGGGGGTAGGTAGTTAAAAGGAAACAAATAAGGGGGAGGGACTGAACATGAATTTGAAAAGGGACTTGGGGATTTTTAAAGAAGTCTCCCTAAATTATATTCCTTTAAAAAAAATATTAACAGTTGATGTATTTTTTAATACGAGTGTCAAATATCCCTAAATTACAAGTTTTAATGTCAATTTTCTGATAAATATTACAATTCTTTCCAAAATCTAATTATTTTATCTATCTCTTGGACTAAAATTCTCAATCTATTTTTAAACATTTCTTAATATTATACATTTGGAAGAATAGCCTAGAACGACAAATAATTAGAAACAAAGAATCAAAACTGAAAAGCCACTTAATGCTAAACAAAGGGAGTATTATATTACGGGCATCACCGAAGGATCTTACCCCTACGTTTCGTAATTTATACTTTTCATGCACGAACAAATGTTGTTGTCCGTGCATGAATTTTTTCATATAAATTTATGCCACCTGTATCTCAGCAATCCATTTCGTTTCAAAGTATCATATACACATTATAAAGAACTTCATACTTTTTTTCTTGTTTTAACTCTCGACTGATTATATGTCTTGATTCGATATAATGAATAAAAAACTTATCCGGGCGAGACAAGAATTTTTCATCTTATGATAAAAAGAAGAATATGTTCACTTTTTCTAACCCTCCCACCTTCATATTTGCATATACTTATTCTCCATCTATATTCTCATAAGGTCATATGAGTCCAAACTCTGTATAGCCAGCTCAAAGAAGAACTTGCATGACAAGAAGCTACATAAATTTTGTGATGGGCCCTGTCCAAACATGTTCTTCATGTATGGGTCTTTGCATGAAAAGGTAGAGAGTGGAATGTAGCCAAGGATGATTTGCCGGTAGATTGATGCGCAAATTAAACCCTAGCGTATTCTTTCGTTTCAACATGTTATTCTTGGTATGTTCGGCTCTCTTCTTTTTTATGTAAGACGATAAGAATATATGCATTAGTACTCGGACACAAGTAATTAGGGTTCCTCATAATTTTTGAAAGATGTTATTGCAATTTTGCAGCTAATGTTGGCAACATTTGATGAGCAAGTTATTTGAGTGAGGATGCTAGCTAGTTGAGACATTGGTTAGTTAGTAGGGTTAGGGATATTTATATAAGAAAAATGTGAATTTAGTCGAATAACTTTTGTTGTTTCTTGTTTTCGTTTATTAACTTGTTCGGGTTGTTATATATGAACTTCAATTCGATGAAGACCTGCAAAAAATAGAAATATCGGTAGGGTCCCATCAAAGATGATGGCGACAAATACTGAACAGATATGATATAAATTTAAGATTGTGGATGAATGTAAGGTAAAAATGCCAATGACTAAAGTTGGTGTGATATAACTACAATCAAATATTAACTGTTAGAAATACACGAGTGAATGAATAGTATTTGTTGTTAGAAATATATAATAATGATTCTTTTTTATTTTTGAGTTGTGTTGGTGAAATTATAGATAAAGAAATGAAATAAAACAAATAGTGTTTTTTTTTTTATAATTTGATTGAGATCAATTTTGTCTCAACAAACAAAAAAATATATATTTCTTTTTAAACCAATCACTACTAAGAATTAAGAAAATCTCATTCAAATCCAAATTTAATGATCAGCAATGTACATCATTGGTTGGGCTCATCACCTAACCGTAAACTGTCCACACCTACTGTTGAGGCCCAGGCCCATCATGATCAGAAATAGAGAAAATAAAAAAAAATAGATATATTAATATTAATCAGGTAAAAGCGTAAATAAACCGAAAAAAGAAGGGCATAACAGTCATTGTGGTTCCGTCAAAAACCCTACTCATCTTTCCCTTTTTATCACAATCTACTTCACACTTGCGAGTTGCAGCTTTCATCTCTCAGCCCTTCTCAGGTCTCAAGCTCTCAGGCAAATCAGTAACGCCGGCAGATCGAAAAAATCACCGGAGAAATGGGAGTGTTCACTTTCGTGTGCAGAAGCTCCGGAGAAGACTGGACGGCTAAGCAGCTCAACGGCGAGCTGGAAGCTTCTGCGGGCTCCACCTTCGAGCTCCAGCGCAAGCTCGTCCAGGCGGCTCTCTCCTCAGACTCATCCGGCGCCGTCCAGTCTTCCTTCTCCCATGTCACCCCTTCGTCCGGCGTGTTTCAGGTTTTTTCTTTATCCGTATCGCATTTTTTTTTATTGGGTTTTGTTGGTAATTTTTGATGTGATTGATTGTTAGTTTATCCAGATAATATCGGTTGTTGGTTGTGGTGAGACCCTTGATTTGATGTATGAATATTTTGGAATGGGTGTGAGATGATGTGATTAATTTGTTTGGTTATCCAAAATAATATCGGTTGTTGTTTGTGGTTAAAACATTTGATTTGATTTTTAGATATTTAGGAAGGAATGATGGGTGATTATGAAGGTTTTATTTGGGTATGAGATGGAAATGTGGTGATATCCGTTTATTAGATCTATAAATAATGAAAAAAGATACGACATTGGCCGATGGTAATGAGTAATTGGGCATTTTCTCAACTAAACGATTTCACGCTTGGGACGTAAGCTTTATCGGTTGAATAATATTGTGATTTACTTTATGGCAGTTTCTACCTTGTGTTTTTTTGGTTGTGTATGGACATTTGTTTTGCTATGTTGGTGCAAATACTAGAGAAAAGAAAGACATGGGCTTTTCTCAGATTCTAGGCCAGGTTTAAGTGTCTGCAAATTCTCCCGTGATATCTATTGGCTGTTGATTTGATCTAAAACATAATAGGGGATAGAATTCAATTGGTGATTGCCAATGTATGCAGTTGTTCAATAAATGTTTGGTTGTATGGTAGAGAAAATGAATGGGTGTGTGTGTGCGTGTGTGGGCGTGCTTTTTCCAGAAAATTTCGTATGCAATCACATGTTTGGGATGTAAACTTCCATCTTAGCAGAAAACTATGGGGATTTATGCAACTCATTTGCTGCCAAATGTGTTTTGTTTTGTTCGGACATATGTTTTGCTGAGCGACAGAAAGAAAGAAATATGCACTTCTTAGATTGTAGGCCGTAATTGAGGTTTATTTTCTCAACTTTTTGCAAGTAATTGATTACTTTTTCAAGTGTTTGCAAATGCTCCCTAATTCCTATTATGATTTTCTTCTTCTTCTTCTTCATCCTTGTGACCTCTTCATTCAGATATCACTGCAGGTTTTACTATTGGCTCACATAATTCTAATATATATGACCTATCCAGGTGATCATCGGCGGCTCCGGTGGCGGTGGCTTTATCGGTGGCGGTGCAGCTGCTCCCGCGGCCTCCAGCGGTGGTGCGGCTGCTGAAGCACCTCCGGCCGAGGAGAAGAAGGAAGAAAAGGAAGAGAGTGATGATGACATGGGATTCTCACTTTTCGATTAGGTTTTGTCACTTCACTTGTTGAGTTTTGTAGTCTTGGTGTTCGCTTGGTTTCCGAATGTTGTTACCTTGGTAATAACAACTTTAAGGTTTGATATAATTACTGAATTGTCAGGTTGAGTTCTTGAGTTGTGATCAAACAAACTGCATTTTGTCTTCCCTAGTGTATGGACGCTGTGTTTGAACTTTGTGGAGGGATTCTGCGTGTTTCTCTTTTTTCTGTCCAAAAATCAGCTGAACTACAACTTTGGACCGTAGAGCTAATTTATTGGCTCTGCTTAATAAAGGCTTTAGCCGAGCTCGAATATCGGGAGTTCAAGGCTTAGCTGAGCTTGAATATCGGGAGTTCGAACAGAGCTATGTTTAGATATCAGAGGTCATAAAATTAAGAGTGCGTTTGTAACTGTATATCAAAAAGCTCAATTCATATTTAAAATTTAACTCAATTTTAATTTAATTTCATTATCTTTAATATTATCAATATGATTAAATAATATCAATAAATTAGTTTTACGTATTACATAAACTTTAATTTACTATTTAGCTATTCACAAAATTTTAACTCCCTATCAATTCACATTACATTTCTACTACTTTTATATCAAGTTAAATTTAGTTATTTTATTTTAAATATTATTTTTAATATAAAATTAAAATTCTACTCGCAGTTAATCATAATTTTTTTTAATGTTAACTCTAGTTAATAAAAAAATTCATTTTAAGCGGATATAATTAATAATAATAATTATATACAAACGCCCTAAGTAATTGACGCCAACATGCATTTCATGTTTATATCTAAGAAAAAAATGCATTATAAATTGTCATGTTCTATTAACATCAATGGAGGAGAGATTTACACGAGTTTACAGAGAGAAAGAGAAGGAAGATGAACAGTTGTTTGTGTTCTGAGAATCGAAAAATAAAAACTAGGGTTACAAGAATAGGGTTAGTCCCTATTTATACTAACATGATATAACTAAAGGTGCTAGATTACAAATGACAACTCTTATATCTAAAACATGCTGAAGGATAAAAATGTAAAAGAACATGTAATATTATTATCCCCCCGCAAGTTGAATGTGGATGTTATGCAGATTCAACTTGGAAATGAGGGATGTGAACAGAGGGCCTGGCAGTGGTTTGGTCAAGGCATCTGCAATTTGGTCCTTTGTGTTGATGTACTGCAAAGAGATGGAACCAGCTGCAATTTTTTCTCTTATGAGGTGGCAGTCAAGCTCTATGTGCTTGGATCTTTCATGGAATACTGGATTTGCTGCCATTGCCATTGCAGATTTGGAATCTGTATAGACAACAGCAGGAGATGAGTGTGGAATTCGAAAGTCATCAAACAAATATAAAAGCCATTGCAATTCACAAGCAGTAGAGGCAAGAGCTCTATATTCTGCTTCAGCAGAAGACCTACTAACAGTAGGCTGCTTTTTAGATTTCCAAGAAATAAGAGAGGAACCAAGAAAAACAGTAAAGCCAGTGATACTTCTTCTTGAATCTGGGCAACCAGCCCAATCACTATCTGAATAAGCAATGAGTTGTAAAGAAGAAGATCTGGGAAATAGAATACTTTGGCCTGTAGTACCTTTAATATACCTTAGTACCCTGTGAGCAGCTGATAGATGTGTAGTAGTAGGTTTGCTCAAAAATTGACTTAAAACTTGAACACTATAAGCAATATCAGGTCTTGAAATAGTTAAATATAAAAGTCTGCCAATCAATCTTCTATATTCAGTTGGTTCAGTTAAAACATCAGAATCAGTGCAAGTTCTCAGTTTATTAACAGGATCCATAGGAGTATTAACAGGCTTGCAACCTAGAAAACCAGTGTCATGTAAGATATCAAGAGCATATTTTCTTTGACACATATTAATACCACTTGCAGAATGGGCAAATTCAAGACCTAAGATGTATTTAAGCTGACCAAGATCTTTAATGGTGAAACAAGCATGAAGATGATTTTTAATAGCAGTAATGACAGATAAGTTATCACCACAAATGATCACATCATCTACATAAACTAAGAGTGCAACATAATTGGAATCTGAAGACATGGTAAATAGGGAGCTGTCAGCTAAAGACTGTTTAAAACCATATTTAATCAAACAAGAGGTCAATTTTTGAAACCATTGCCTTGAGGCTTGCTTAAGGCCATAGAGGCTTTTAATCAGTTTACAAACTCTTTTATCAGAATCATTACAATAGCCAGGGGGTGGGGTCATATAAACTTCCTCATTCAAGTCCCCATGTAAGAAAGCATTATTCACATCAAGTTGGTGAATATGCCAATTTTTTATAGAAGCTAATGAAACAAGAAATCTGACTGTGGTTATTTTAGCTACAGGAGAGAAGGTGTCAAAATAGTCTACACCTTCCTCCTGTGTGTAGCCCTTAGCTACCAATCTAGCTTTATATCTTTCCACAGTCCCATCAGATTTATATTTAACTTTAAACACCCATTTGCATCCTATGCAATGCTTACCTGGAGGCAGGGCTGTGAGTTCCCATGTATTAGTCTGTTCAAGGGCATTAAGTTCTTTTTGCATAGCTTCTTGCCACAGAGGGTTTTTAACAGCCTGGGCATAAGTTTTTGGTTCTATGTGTTGATGCAAAGATGCAGTGAAACAATGATGAGAAGATGAAAGTTGATCAGTGGATAAGTAATTAGATATGGGATATGGAGTTGTACCAGAATGTACAAGATTTGAAGATGTAGGAGCAGAAGAGTTAGATGATGTGGAGGTTATATTATGGTCATAGATATTCAAGTATGCAGGTGGCTTTCTGGGTCTGTTTGATCTTCTCATAGGTAGTTGTATATCAGAGACTGAAGGAGTAGGAGGAGTAGGAGAAGATGTTGTGTGTATAACATGTAGAGTATCAGATGTTGGTGATGGAGTAGATGTGGTGGCAGGTGTTGGAGATATAGTAGGTATGGATGTAGTGGTAGATGTTGGAGTGGGGGCAGTGTGCTGATGTTGTGTAATAGCATGATGTTCAAACAAATCATCTGGGGGTGCAGGGAATAGATTTGAAGGGGAGAAAGATGAAAGAGTTTTGAAAGGAAATACATCTTCAAAAAATTTGACATTTCTGGATATTAATGTTTTCTTGGTGTCCAAGTTATAAAGGAGATAACCTTTACAACCCAGTGGATATCCAAGAAAGATGCATTTAGATGCTCTAGGTTGAAATTTTGATCTATGAGCAGACAATGTTGATGCATAGCAAAGACAGCCAATAACTTTCAAATGATCATATGTGGGCTTTTTATTGAAAAGTTTTTCAAAAGGAGATTTTCCATGTAAAACAGATGATGGTACTCTGTTTATGATGTGAGCTGCAGCTCTAATACAGTCAATCCAAAAAGATAGAGGAAGATAAGCATGAAACATTATTGCTCTAGCAACTTGTAATAGGTGTTGATGTTTTCTTTCCACTCTACCATTTTGTTGTGGTGTTTCTACACAACTAGTTTGATGTATAATGCCATGTTGTGAAAAGAAATCATGTAAAAGGAATTCAGTGCCATTATCTGATCTAATGGTCTTGATTTTTGCATCAAACTGATTGACAACCATGTTATAGAAATGGAGTAAATGAGATTTTGTATCAGATTTATGAATCAGTGGATAAATCCAAGTAACTCGACTGTAATCATCAACAATTGTAAGGAAGAATTTGAATCCTGAGTGAGATGGGGTGGAAAAAGGACCCCATACATCACAGTGTATGAGTTGAAAAGGTTGATCTGAAATAGATGTGCTAAGTTGAAATGGGAGTTTCTTTTGTCTGGAAAATTGGCAAATATCACATGGTGTGGAAATGATATGAGTGCATTTAGATGAACACATAGGTAAATGATTCAGTTTATTATATGACAGATGGCCCAATCTGTGGTGCCACAGTACAGAGTTCTCAACAACAGAGGAAGCAACATTTGCAGGTAAAGAAAAATTTACAGATTCAGCAGCAGTTTGTGTAACAACATTGTTAGAAAGAGATAATGGAGAATCAGAATGCATAGTGAGATGGTAGAGCCCATCTTTGAGGTCAGCAGAACCAATCATTTGATGAGTTGTTTGGTCCTGTAATATGCAATGAGATGATACAAATTGGACAATGCAATTGTTTGTGGCAGTGAGTTTAGACACAGAGATAAGATTGAAACTAAAGCTAGGCACATATAAGACATCTTTCAACAATATGTGATCAGACAGTTTCACAGTGCCTGTATGAGAAGCAATTGTATGATTTCCATTTGGTAAGTTGATAGCAATATGAATAGGGACAGGAGTATCACAGAAATAAGACATATCACACAACATGTGGTCTGTAGCTCCAGTATCCAATATCCATGTAGTTTTAGACAAGTTACTAGCCACAGTACAAGAGAAGATAGGGTACTTACCTTTAAGCTCAGCATATGCAATAGCAATCATAGGTGCTGCTGAATTGTTTACAGTGGACTGCTTATCCTCCTGAGACTTTTTAAATTCTAAGAACTCATGAAACAAACTATTAGTAACATCAGGTGCAGTACTGTTAGTGATCATGTTTTCAGCAATGGCAGCATTAGCAGAATGGTTAGGGTGGATTCTTGGGCCTCTAGGACCATCCCAATTTTCTGGATATCCAATTACTTGGAAGCATCTTTCAGAAGGGTGATTATAACCACAGTGAATGCATTTGGGACGAGGTTTGTCCTTTTGATATGTGGAGTATGGTGGTTTATGGGAATTTTGTGGATAAGGAGAAGGTTGCTTGAGTGAGTTGTTGGCTGGGTAAGTAGAAGTAGATTTGAATGATGTTTGTTTGTTGAATGGAGGTTTATTGTGAGAGTAGGAAGATTGATGAGATTTTGCCAACATAGCCATAGAATCAGCAGGTTTAGTATTAGAGAGAGATCGTTGGCTTTCTTCCTGTAACAATAGAGAATAGACAGTGGATAGAGAAGGAATCGGTTTGGACAATAAGAAATGGCTCCTAAG